CTGCCAGGGATGGGGTAGCCACAACTTCTCTTCTAATGCCTAATCTAAATCTATTTCAGTTTAAAATCATTCCCCCTTGTCCTGTCACTACCTGCCATTGTAAAAAGTCCTTCTCAAGATTTTTTGCATGCCCCCTTTAGGTATTAGAAGACTGTTTTAAGGTCTCCCCAAAGCCTTAATCTTACAGGATTCTGTAGTCCATTTCCTAATACAGCCTTAAGATTCCCTAAATCATGTCTGCTGCAGGAGCATTTCACATTGATTCACATTTCTGGTGCTGGCCTTGGCTAAGCTCTGAATAGGTATGGAATTTACTGTGCAGGCAGCACAATGAGCGTTCATTTCTGCTAGGTTTTATAGTAGCTCAGGCTAGACAAGGCCCATGATTCTCTCAGTCTTCCATTCTTAACAGCTCTGTCTTATGCTGGGGATGGGTACAGTCAAGTTGTTGCAACTGGCTACTTCACAGTCCGGAAATCCTCAAACTAATTTGCAGTCTAAACAGAGGTACAAGAAGTAGCTGTACAGTAGAGACTGCACCTTTCGCCCCCCCCCAACCCATTTTTGTCAAAAGTGAATAAGAGAGAAGAAATATGAAGCAATACAACAACATCCCATTACTAATAGAAAGTAGTTTCAGAAATTTCTTTGTACTTTGGTACAAGGAGAAAATGAAACCTCAGACAAGGAACAGTGCTAGTGATCACTGTCTTTCAGCTACAGAAATGCTGTTGTGGCCTGAACAAAAGGATGGCATGACCTTCAAAAATTGAGGCAATCATTTTGTACAGATTGCTGGTATCAAAATGGAAAACGTTATTAAATCAGAAATACCTTTTGAAGGCTGAGGTACTAAATGCATGCCATTTGTTTTCTCCCAGCATCAGTGCTGTAACCTATCACATTGATAAGGCTATTACTGGCTGCCCAGAAATAAGTTGACATGTAAAGTAATGCCATATTATTAGCATTTTTAAAACAACTTTGAATGTAAACACCTCGTATTGTAACTCTTCTACAGATTAACCCTCGGCTAGATGGGTGCATTCGTGCCTGGAACCTGATGAATCAGGGACACTCAGGTGTAAAAGAAGTTATTCAAGAAAAACAAAGCAAACACTGTTTAGTAGCAGTGGGGAGAGGATCCTTCTACCCTGGCACTGGAATGGCAATGTTTCAGATAAACTATAGTAAGTATTTTTCTGTCCATTCCTGTATTTTTTGCTGGACTGGTGATGGAACTGATAAATTGTTAAAAAAAAGGAGGGTAAAAAAAATAGAAAGAAAAGCACCCGCACAGACGAAGCTGTACACCACTGCATCCAGCAAGGAGTCTGGTAAATTCTGTTGGAAATTTCCTTGAATGAGAAGTCTGATCCCATTGATGGCATCCATTTAATTTCCAAAATACTTCAGGTTAGAAAGTGGTCCTTTACTTGCAAACGACAGACACTGTTGAACACATTCACTTTCCAATGACCTAATTCTGTCTCCTCTTCATTAGTGGGGAAAGCTATCATATTACTGACAGAAAAAGAAGATTGGGGATGGAGAAAAAGATCACTGCAATTCTGCTTCTAACTGAACATCCTGTCTACAGGTTTTAGATGCATCTCTTGCTCCTTCCTGAATGCAGAACTTTCTTGCCTGACCTCCTGCCCTAATTTCAAAGTTTCCAAACCAGAATCTCCAAAATGAGCCCAAAAGGAAAAAACTCTGTTAAGCATCATCCCAAATCCTGTTGTCATTATACTCATCCCCAACTGAAACACTATGCTATCCTTTAGCGCTCTCCTCTGATCCCCAATCCTTTTCATCCCAGGACTTGCTATTCTGTCCCATTCTCTTTTATATTCTGCTATTCTTCCTATTCTTTTCTTGCTTTTCTATTTTCTTTCTTTAAATTCCGTAGCCCATTTCAAAGGATTTCTCCAGCTTCTTACATTCTATGCTTCAAAAAAACCTTATGTCAGTTTCCTATGTCACTCAAGTTTCCTCAGCTTTCCTCCGGTTCCTTCACTAATGCCATGCTGCCATGACTCCTCCTGACCTTTGTGTTTGGGGCTAGTACCACAATTTCACCCTCTCTCCTTTCTGTTCTCACCGTCTGCTCCCCCCTCAAGAGGCTTTCCACACTTAACTGCTGCCTTTCCATGAGCTGTTATAGCCCACTGTCTCCCTGCCCATTTGGCATTGTGTGAGAATGTACCCTCACATCATATTTTTAGGATTTCTGCTTCCTCAAAAAACTACTAGAAATCAAGAAACTACTAGATTTAACAGGGAGGAGGCAGAGGGAGAAGTGACACTGAAAGAAAAGATATGAAAGATGACACATACCTCTTTAAATAGTATTTTTTACATAAGCTTCACTATGAATGTACCATATGAAATTGTAGTTGTGCCACCTGCATCTTTACTTTGTGCACCTGCATATTCACATCTTAGTAGTGGAGCTGCTTTGGAATGGTAAAGTGTATGAAAACTGCTATCTTCTACTCAGTGGCAGCAATTTATGAGTAAAGTAGGTTTTTGTGTTTCATTTTGAACTGACCATTAATGAACGTGGCACCTTTTCCACACTAGAATGGAGAAGACAGCAAAAGAAAAGGTCCAATAAGCAAATAAGCACAAAAGATTAGGGAAGATGCAATAATAAAAGGTTGGGGTTTTGTTTGTTTGTGGTGGGTCTTTTTTTTTTTGGTTGGTTGTTGTTTCTTGTTTTGTTGTTTTGGGGTTTTGGGTTTGTTTTTGGGGTTTTTTTTTATTCCCCGCCCCCCCCCAAGACTTATAGTTCTTCCTAAAAGTTGCAAGTAAACTGTTTGGGTTTTTGGTTTGGTTTTTTTTTGTTTGTTTGTTTCTGGAGATTAGTACAAATTTTTCCACAGTGGGAGCCAATTAAATACTAATTTTTGACTCTATATTAATTTTTCATTAGCAGATAGATTTATTAATTTCAATTATTGTTTTTAAAACAGATGATCTTGACAGTGCTGAAGATTGGCTAATAAATGTGACTATGACTATTCGCCCGTCCACAGACACTGGTGTTATGTTTGCCTTGGTTTCTGGTGAAACAGTGCCTCTTGCTTTGTCCATAGTGGACTCTAACTCCTCTGACTCACAGGTGAACTTACCATTATCATAGCAGCTGATCTGCATAAGTCACACCTCTTGTTTTTGTCTCACATAATTTACTACTCCATTTGTGAAAAATCAAACTAAAAAAAACTACTCACATTAATACATTAATATTTTGGAAAGCACTTAGATCGTATATTAATGACTGCTACATCAGTGACTAAGCATTAAGCACTCTTATGTCAGGTACTATCCATTACATCACATCTTCTTCAACCTTTCCTTCCAAATGCACAAAACGGGAATATGACAGAAGTCGAATGATGATACTATAGTAATGGTATCATGTTAGTTTTGATTTATAAATGGATCTTTTCATCCTTATATTTCCATTTACATCTATTTAACCTGTTTACATCAGGCATCCCAACATTGACCGTGATTATACACCATGGCTAATCCATGCTTTTGCCTGAAATAAGAACCTGTAGTGACCACTTCGTTACCTTTTAAACTGCAGCAGTACTCCTTTTGCCTGTAAGAGGAACAGGACTTCACCTCAGAACCATAACCAAAGATTTTTTTACAGTGAACATTCTCACTTATAAATTTAAGAATATAAATGAATGGCATTCATTAGCAAAGGTAGTGATTTTACATCCACATGGGTAACTTCTCCAACTTAAGGTACCAGCTTTTAAAATGTGGCTCTAACATTTCCTTTTCTTCTACTTCCAAATATAAAATGTATCAGAACCAAGTATAATTGTTTGTTAAAGTTACATGTGGCATCTTTTGTAACCTATCATTCTTCCAATTAGAAAATCATTGTGACCATTGGAAACATCACTGTTGCACATCTGGAATCAAAGAAGTTATGTACGCCCAGAAAAGTGCTAGTTGGACTTCTAGTAACCAGACAGCAACTTGAACTGTCTGTTGATTCTCACACAGACAGAAGCAATTCAGAGCAACTGTCTATCCTGCACCAAGCAATGATGGCAAATGTTGTTACCTACTTGGGCGGTCTGCCAGGTAAATTCTATTTCTTTTAATTAATTTGATTATTTGTACAAGCCTGATTATATTCAGCTTTACCCAAGCTAGAAAAAGTCTGTAACTGTACAGAAAAACAGGGTTTTTTTTTCTACAAATGCTTCGTTTCATTCAATCTATTCAGCTTTTGAGGGAGTCTGCTTTTCAACAGTAGCATTTCTAGACCCATGAAAAGCTATGAGTGTCTCTCTAGAGGTTTGGAGGTAGGAAATGTCTTGATTTTTGAGCTGGAGAGGAGTGAGTGTTGCATATTTATGAAATGCCACCAGCTGGCACAATTTAGGAACGGCATTGAGAATGTAAGAAAGCTAGGCATTAGTAAGTTGTCAGAAGTGAAGAAGTCAGGAATAGGGTTTCAGTAATTAAACTCTGGGCAATAGATGACCGGCACTCTTGATGAGACAGAAAACATGTTGAAACAGCAAATGATTTATTTAAAGCAAGCTGCAAATGTATCCACAGTCTTAAGACATGTGCAATCATTGATTTGTATGGGAAGTGTACACATGTTTATCTGTAAAATAGCTTGACTTCAGGGTGAATCATCAAGAGCATTGCCAAAGATGAGGAATTTTCAAAGCCTAAGAGCCTCAAGCTTGAAAATTGGTAGAGGAAAGACACCAAGGTTACAACATTACTACTGGCAGAGCTTTTCTGTGTCCTCCATTAATGTTGTTTTCAGGAGAGTAAGTCACAATTCCTAAGGAAATTCTAAGAATTTGACCTACATAGTCTTGAATTGACTTCCATCAACATGTAGGCTGCAGTGTCATAGCACTGCAGATAGCTGGTCTTTATCTGCAGTATGTTTCTTCTGCAGGAGACAAGGGTGCACAGGAGTAGATAGAGTGAAGGAACTAAGTATCCGTTGGAGATGATCACTTTAAGCATTTCTTCCAAGGTAGTGTACACAGAGGAAGGTGGAATTATGGTTCTACCCTCTAGACTTGCTTGTCAGACTAGAAGGAAGGTGTTTATGGCAGCACTGCAGGTGCCACAGCCTCTGTCTGAAGTGGTGGTTACCTCAGTCTACAGGCCTATATGGTGGAATTTACTTGTTCTCTAGAAGTCTTCATACACTGGTAATCAAGTCTGTAACAAGATTTAGGCACCACATATGTCAGTTTCTCCTTTAATTTTGTTTTTGAATGATGCGCAATATCTTTGAAACCAGATAACTAGGTGAGTTCAATTCGAGTGTATAGAATGTGAAGAATGCACTAATGGTGCAGTACTGTTCAGATACTGCAATAGAAAAGCAACAGTGTTTTTGTAATGCCTGTTCACTTTTAAAAGAGATGAAGTCAGTATTTACTTACTAGAGGTGAGTCAGTAGGTTAACTCAGCCATAGTAACAAATGTTCAAGTAATTTCTTAGACATCTTCATCTTTGTGATATTTAAATGATTCTAGTACAATGCCAGCCACAGAGAAATTAGCATTTTGAGAGCTATGACCCAGTCTTCAGTCATTCATCCCAAGCAGATAGGAGGCAGGTGTTACTTACTTGCTGCTCCTCTAAAGTAAGCGTATCTTCAACATGCAAATTAACAAAAAACCTCTGTACGCATAAACGGTTTCTACTTAAAGGTCTCACAAAAGCTACACCACCACCCACTTTATGCAAAGAAGCCTCTTCCACAACAGCCTCTGCTACCAAAGAAAGAAAAAGTAATATAGGAAAACTACTGCAGGTTTCCATGTACGGCCAGTTTGGCTACACCAATTTATTTACTTCCTCTAACTTACCCCCCAAAAGTCTCTGGGATTACTGAACAGTATAAAAAAGTAAGGATCCCCACATTGAGCTACAGTGCTTTTAACTGTATGGGTAAAAGGCACCTAACAAAAATACGCATTTCATGAAGACCAGAAATCCCCATTTTTTATACACATTTCTCCAAACTAGTACCAGCATTGGAAGCATGCCTTTTTGTTAATTAATTCAGCACAACCAGTGCAAGCTAAATGAGACTTGCGTGGTTCTATGGCAGCAGAGTTATCACTGGCATAAAAAGAGCAATAGAGCATGATTCTACAGGACTGTGCAGTACTTCATCTTACAGCAAAATAAAATTCACAAGGAAGCAACATTTCTTGTTTCCCAGACAATAAAGTCTGTCTTCTAGAAGGGATAGATGATTAACATCTGGAAGAAAAGATGATGCTCTGGAGATCAGCTTCCAGGCATCCTCATCCTAGTTGCTGAATGTACTTGGATCACCTTATGTTTACCTTGTAAGAATCCAGTTGTACCCTAAGACCTCAGAACAATGCCTGCTTGATTTCTATGCTTAACGTATTGTTTCCTGAAGCATATCCAAACAATACCTCAATGAGCAACAGATAAAGTGAGTCTTTTTTGGAGAATTCACTTTGAAGAAGCAGTAAGGAAGCAGTAAAATGTGTGGAGTTCCCAGGAGTCCCCTATCTGAGAACTTGCAGATTTAAATCCAGAGAAGCTCTCTGGCAAAACCAAGATGGTTCTTTCTGTGACCTCTAGATCCATAAACATCTGTTTGTAGGTCAGGACAAGAACAGTGGACTCCAAGAAACAAACTGTTGGATCACTTGTTAATACAGGAAATGCTACTATGAAAAACATTCATGTAGTTCAGTTTCAGGGTGGAAATAGTCTTCTAAGGCACATTTCAAATTTTACTGACCTTTCTCAGCTTTCCTGACTTCATCTCAATCTTAAAAAAAAAAGGAGAAGAACCCAAGTGTTTCCTGCCAAATTCCTCTTGTCTCCTGTGGCTGACTAATGGATGGGGGATTGAAGTATTCCCCGTGTTTTTGCTAACCTGAAAAATACATAAGAATTTGCAAGCATTGGCCTGATAAATTGAATGTGTTTCTGTGCAGATGTTCCTCTGGGGGCTACGTTAGTAACCGCTTTTTATAATGGCTGCATGGAGGTGGAGGTCAACAACAGACAGCTGGATCTGGATGAAGCCATTTCTAAACACAATGACATTAGATCTCACTCGTGCCCACTGATTATGCAGTAACCATTCAATTCTTAATTTAACTTTTTTCTTTCAGATATAATTTATGTAATTAGTCTCATGCCATAATGAAGCCTGTATTATGTTATTCAACATGTGCCAGGAAAATAATCAACAGCATGTTTTTCCTCTCTTTTATATAGAAGGGGGAAAATCCCCTCTTTTCAACTGTAAAGAGACAATCAAGATAAAATTCTGTAAGATGTTCTTTTATTCATATCAGTGATAAATCTTAAAACTAATTTATCTTCCATGTTTATACTATGCTCTTGATATATTTAGTTTGGAGAGAGAGTTCAGGAAGTTCTGTTTAGAACCAATTTTACTACTTATTTCTCATATATTTGCACAAAGCTACAAGTTGCACATTCTGATCATGTGTTTGAATCTAAACAAAACCAGTCTCATTAAACTTCTCCAAACATAACATAAAAAGAAAAACCTCTACACGTGCTTGTGGTAAAGGAAAAGAAGAAAAACCCCAACAGAATCCGGAGCCCAAGCTCCCTGTGAATATGTTTACAAGTTGTATCAATATCGGTAAAGCAACTTCAGAACTGAAGTGTTTTTGTAAGTAGCTCAATTTTTGAAAATAGTTCTTGGTTTACTGTACCAGCTTTAATTCTTCTATCTTAGGGACCCAGCTTTAGGCTTTTAAAAGACTTCTGGATTAGGTCAGGTAATTTACTTTCAAAGTCAGTTGAAATACACCCCAGGCAATTTTGGAAAACAGGAGATGGCTTGAAAGAATGTGCTCTGGTCTTCATCACAGGACATCAAACTGGAATTTGCTAAGTAAAGCTGAGAAATTATGGCAAACATTTCTTCTGTTTGTGACAAATCTAGCACTCCTCAATCTAAGTACCCTCTAATGGTCCATTTTTTCCCTTTATCCAGGTCAATCTTGCATTCACAGAGCCCCAGAAGAAATTTATTTGTGATCCCTGTTGCAGTTGTGTTTCTGACATACTTGAAAGCCTAAATTTTTCTAGTAAGATCACAATGTAAAGCCATATTCTGCTCAGCCACTTTAATGGAAGAGGTGATTAAAAAAATACTGTTTTTCTCAGGTGTACTTATTTCAAGCAATTTTAACATTACTTTAACATGCTTTGAGCATTCCTTCCACTTCCAACCTCATTTTCATACAACCAGGAACCCCCCTGTTCAGTTTACCTAGTGGATTTTTTAACCCCCAACCAAATAAATAGCAAGAAAATTGCTGTAAGTGGTGAACACATGCTCTCATAGATCAACTGGAGAGACATTTATCTGCCAGGATTCTTGACCTGAGGTTTGCTTTCTTCACTTGACAGAAGGATGGATTGTGACAATATTCATTTTGAGGATTGCCTTTCTCCAGAGAGATTCCCAGTGACGTTAGCGAGGTTTCTTTCATTGTCAAGTCCTAACGTTAGTACATTGGTACTGCAGAATCTGAGCCCATCTTTCAACATTATTGCTTTGTCTGAGGTTATTGTTGACTTCACTTCCTACTTGCATAATGTAATACAGGAGTTGCTCCAACTTGCACACCAACCAGCCTCAGCACAGTCTCCGAGTCTGCCCAGCACTGGTTCATACTTATCAGGGGCAACATCATACGGCTGACACCCAGGACCCTAATTACCAGTGAACTGCTAGTTCACCTTTCCAGTATGGCATGTAAAGAAAAAAGCTTAGGTTTCTCCCGAATCCATGGAGGGGAAATAACTGCAGGAAAGCATCCCTCCCTGGTCTCCTCCCTTGGGTCAGTCTCTGCCTTGTACAACAAATACCAATGATGAGAGATGAGGAACACAAAATAAAGTGTCAGCAGTACTCAGTGCTTATGTTGGCCTGTGATAATAGAAGAAAAGGGAATTTTTGGTGGAGTTTTGTTGTTTGTTTGTTTTTTAGGTTTTGGATTTTAAGTGTAATAAATGGTATAGAGATGAAAGGGAAAAATCGCTGCATTTTCTCACACATACACCATTTTCTTTCTGTTGTCACAGAATAATATTTTAGGGTTTTGTAGTTGTAATGAAACCTCTGCATTATTTTTTCTTTTTATGTAAAAGTGCCTCCCTCTTGTAAGAATTAAATAAAGCCACATTTGCAAGTTTCTTTTTATTTTAAGTTGTATTTGCATATCTCCGTTCATTTTCACTGTGCAAGACTTGTCCTAGTGGAAAATGGCTTACTCAAGAGACTGTGATAATCCAGCAAAGAAATGAATTGGCTCAAATTAATATGCTATTCAAATAGGCATCCATATTCCCTAGATAAATTTGTAAGTTTAGCAATTGTTAATATTGCCTGAGGAAATTAAGCTTTGCTTAAAACTACATGTGGAAGAAAGATCAGTGAAAGTTACTGATTCCTATCTTTTTTCCTTCATTAAACGCATTTCTTTGTATTTTTAGACATAATCATTTTAGCAAGGTTTTTTCAGTGTTTATACAGAACAGCTGGGTCTGCTCTGTACTTTTTTATCTCCTGTGCACTAAGTGCTACAAATCGGCATGTCCTAATTTCCTTGAAAATGAAATCTAGTAATGGAATTGGTTACCATTTATGCTAGAGCAGCTTCCTGCTTATGTGCCTGATCTGAGTTTACTTTACATATGTTAATGCCTGCATGCCTCCTGGTAGATTGAGTGCAAACACCTTCACTCAAGATTATCTTCCAAGAAAGAGAGGCCAAACACATTTTAAGTCATTCTAGTCTTGCTTATCAATAAACAATACGCTGATGTTGGTCCTTTGACATCATTAGTCATATGTACCTGCTTAATATTTTGTTGCCTCAGCAACCTTGTTATATCAAAAGAGAAAACTGATTTGGGAACAATTTCATGTTTCATCTGCCAAGAAGAACAGTTGTATACCAAAGAGATTAGAAACAAGGAAAATGGTAACAGCTAACATCAAAGAGGTAAGCAAGGCATCACTTTATGAATAAACAAAGAACTGAGATAGCCAGACCCTGGTTTTGTCCCCCCTTCTTTTCCTGACCACAGTCCTACAGTAGCAGTTCAGAGCTAAGTCACCTTCGTTCCTGTCATTTTAGACAGCTTATCACCTGCCACATTGGTGCAAAAGTGCCAACAAGACAGAAATACTATTGTGTTATCAATGGGAATCAAAAGGAACTTCTACCAAAATCTCCATCCAGACTACCTATGAGACCTTCTCCATAACAGGGTTTACTGTTTACAAAATGCTTCCCATCCACAAAATGACCATACCCCCATTGTTACACTAGGTATATCCTGCTCTAAGGGTAGTTACATTTCAATAGGAATATGTGAATAAGCGGCTAAATCACAAACAAGCTGGTTCCAAGTAAGGGAGCTAGAATAGCTAGGATGTTGCTTATAGGCACTTGAATCTAGTGGTTGCAAATCAACTCAGTTTTATGTAATTCACAATTATGTGGCTTTAAAAAAAACAAATCTGTTTTTTGGGGGGGTTTTGTTGTTTGGGGTTTTTTGGTTTTTTGGGGGTTTTTTTGTTTGTTTGGTTTTTGGGGTTTTTTTAAGGAACGTGTAGGATCACAGCAAATTAGGAACACGTTATAAACACAAGTGATAAGAAACCACTGTCACACAACCTAGGTTTGCAGAGCCACTGATTCCAACCCCCTTGCCACTGAGGACAAGGGCCGTGGGAACTGCAACAACATGTAAAGCAAAAGCCACAAACACCATCAGCCCTCATAAGCAGTTAGGTGCATTTTGGGAAAGTTCAGACGTGCAAAAATACTTCAAGAAGTACTGTTGGCATAATGAACATTATCATACACTAACCTAAAAGCATCCTATGCATCTGTGCCAGAAGGTTTTAGATGTAGCATGATGCTTCGTTTCTGTCTCTTGATTTTGGAAGCACGAAAAAGGCAGAAGCCCAGTCCACCTTGGTGCACTGGCTTCTATCCAGTCTAGCTGAGCATGTGGGGAAAGACACCCACCCCATCAGAAATAACATCAACCAGAACCCCCACCTCCAACACAACACACACACACCAAAACCCACAAGTGAATTTGATCAAGAGTTTTCACCTCCTTTCTTTTCCTCTCTTACACCCCATACCCCTCCAAACACAAATCCAACTCTTCTTAGAAAGATCACAGCTCATTTTTAACCCCACTTGGCACTTCTACATCATCCAACATGGCAACATCTGCTCAAAAGTCAGGGCTGTGTTTCTCTAAGCACACCCAAGGCCTGCTTTACAAGTTTTTTTACTACATTTACAAATGCTTTACTACATTTACAAATGTAAACTGGAGCTTAAACAAGGACGCCTTGCACAGCGGAGCGGGGGGAAG